GAATTGTTTTTTCTGCATGTGGGTCCGAGCTCTTGATAAAATCATGACAGTTAGTAGATCAGCTTTGCTTGTGCTATCAAGTTTACACAGGTTTTTACGGCCCTGGGACTTTAAAAGGTTAAACCCCAAGTGTTTTAGATCTGAATTATGGTGGCAGCTGTTATATCTTACTAGACTGTTCCAAAATGTTAACATTATTTTAATCAGAAAAAAAATGTAAAAATTAACTATTTAAATCTCAACTAACACGGACAAATGACCAAGCAACTTCTCTATCCCATTCTTTTAGAATGATCAGTTCACCAAAGCCATGTTAATGTATACATATATTTTTTTAACTGTAAGAGGAAGGCTAAGTCAAGGATTGATCACATTGGTGCATAGAAAGAAGATTCAAACTCCATGCAGAAAGATGGCGGGCCAAAATTACAAACCCGGAACTTCTTGCTGCAGGGCAACATTGCTATCAACTGCTCCACCAATCAGCTCACCTACCTTAAGTTGAGGACAGTTGATCTGAGAATAGTATAGCATTACTATTCACACTGTTTAACCTGTGATAACCAGGCTCATACTAATTTTACAAAAGGATAAAAAGATACAAACATTGAAAACCCCAGAATAGTATTAGGAAGATCAAACATGCATGGAAGACGAATTTGTTCAAGTTCTAGTAGATTTATTAGACATAAAAAAAATAATAAAATAGTGGATTTAGCTCTCTGTCCTATAAACAGCACAGATTAATTGAGGAAGGTTTTAATGTGTTAATGTGAAAAACAAGCAGAAAGCTTCTGAAAATGCAAACAAATCATGTGGAACCAAGCCCTGTTGCCAAGAGACGCACAGGTGCCAAAACGTGTTGGCTGGACCGGATGGTGTTGCCTGGCAACAGCTGCTTAGTGATCGTTCCACCAGGAAGAGCTGACAGGAAGTTGGACCTGCACGCTTAGACACATGGTGCTGTCAAATAGAGTTCAGCCTTGTTTCTTCTGCTGAACTTATATTCAGCTCCCTCTGGATATCTGACTCTTCCTGCTCCATGTTAGTGGAAAAAAAAACACTAGTATAGAAGCTGATTCCAGCAATAGTAATTCAGTCGCTTTATTCAAATATGTTGGTTAAAGTAGAATCAGCGAAATGCTGGCAACATTCTCAAATTCTGAAATGTTTTCTCTGGTTTTTCTCCTCATTAATAAGAAAACCCACCCAATCCCAGAATAACTAACACCACAGGAACCCCACCGTCTGCCCTCTCATTATTCAGTGTAAATCTAATGCTACAAGCTGGAAACGTTTTGAAGTTATAATTTAACAAAGCAAAGATGCCTGCATTCTGTCAGGTCAACCCCCTGCAAAGATGTTTTTAATGATATCCAGGCGAACATTCAATTCAACTAATAATGAGTTGTCAGCTAGTATTGGCCCAGGAGGAAAGAAACACTACAGAATCATTTTCATTTTAAATTTTGTATCTTTTTTCTTGTTTTTTGTCTTATAACAGGAACTTGGCCAACCTGATTAGGGGTATCTATTCAATCTCATTTCCTTACTGATCTTCCCACTGAATTAAGGAAAACAAAAAACAGAGAAAACAGGAGGAAGGATCTGAAGTTTTTCACAATGTTTGTCTTGTTGTTATGACCTGAAATCTAACAGCGTACTCACTCCTGACTGTAGCAGTCCGGGTGCAGTTGTAGAGGATGGCAAGCTCTCCGAAAACTTTTCCTGGACCCATCGTGCACAGCTTCATCCCCTCTTTGGTCACCTCCACTTTACCCTCTGGGTGAAAAACATGGAAACAAACTATCACTGTCAAACGCACACCTCTCTTCAGACACGTGCAAAATTTTGTATCACTATGTGTTGACTAAAAGTACAAATATAATAACTTGCTCATTCTAACAAAAAAATACTTGATAAAAATGTATATAAATTAAATAAAAGCAAGAAAAAGCTGGATTTTGACAGATTAAGCACATAATTTATCCTTAAAAATCAATCTGTCCTGTAATTGATAGACTCTGTGCAATTAGCTGGTTTTCCTCTATAGAATCTTTTAATTATCTGATTTATTTGCCTGTGCAAAGTACCTTAAAATGACATGTGTTGTGAATTGGTGCTCTATAAATAAACTAAACTGAATTGAATAACCCAAACCACCTGAATCACCAGTAGTTTTCATATCATTAAGTATCACCACTTGAGTATGTGTAGGATAAACTAAAAGAAAACAAACATAAAGCATTATATTGATACACTTAGGTTAATGGTTGATGAGAAACTTTAGATTTTTCAGTTTGAATTATAATTTCTGATCAACGTTGTTTTGTTTTTTTCTAAATGAAACATGAAAACTGAGCATATGAAGAGCAGCATAAAAAAATCCGCAAAATAACGGTTCCACCAAAATGGATTCCAGCTTCCCATTAAGTATGAACACCTGCAAGACTTCTATAGAAATCCTTTTGAGCAAGGTTAATTAACTGCAATACTGTAAAACTTGAGTATTCACTCTATCTCTCTCTCTCTGTATATCTTTGCCCATAATTAAAACACATTGCATTTCACTACAAACAGACAGAAAAAAAACAAGAGTCTAGAAGTGTCTCTATATATTCCAGCAGAGACGACACCACCAGCATTTTTTGTATCATATTATCCTTGTTGACTCTTTACATTAACCTGCACGTTGTATTCATTTCTGTGGCCTAACCCTGAGCATTACCCTAACCTGACTACAAACACATACCTAACCCTTGTAATGTGTGAGCTTTCCTTCTAGCCACACTGCAAACCACACTATAGAGGCAACTATTGTATGCCATGAATTATTATCTATGTCCACATTCAGTACAAATGAGAGTCATACAAGTCTACTGTATGACTCTCAATGGTATCATACATTGCTACAGATGTCATTTTGTAAAGCATAGAGGCTTCTGCTTAACTGAAAAAAGTAATAGTCATCTCTAACTTTCTCAAACTAAACAGTGAAAAAACTGAAATCCTTCTCATAGGAACCAAACTTGTATTAAAAAAAAGCTGACATTTTCTCCCTTCAACTGACAGTTCCATGTCCTCCCCCTCACCTCAAGCTAAGACTTTGGGTGTCATCCCCAATACCTATCTGTCCTTCACCTCTAATCAGTAAAATTACCTGTTCTGCTTATTTTCGTCTATGTAATACTAATTGTCTTTTCCTGCATTCTCCATCTATTTTTATCCATATTTCTCAAAACTCCCTCCATAAACTCCAAGTAGTAAAGAATTCAGCTGCTCTATTTATTACTAAACCCCAGCCTTACAGCACTTCCACTGGCTCCCTCACAAATTCAGAATACAATTCAAGATTCCTCCCTATGCATTTAAGGTTACCCACCACCCTGCTCCTTCCAACCATTTTGATCTCCTTGACATAGTTACTTACTCCCACATCCATAGATCTTCCTTTATGGATATAGGAGATAGTTTCCACAGAGTGACTGGCATAATGATTGACTCACCATCACAGTTCTTCCTTTCACTTTATTATTCCGTCTGCCTTCCTCAGCACTACTGGGGACAGAGCTTTCTCCCACTCTGCTCCTAAACTTTGTTATTCTCTCCCTCTAGACATTCAAAATATTCACACTACGCTCTGTTCAAGTCTAAACTTAACACACCTGTTCAAAATTGAATATTGTAACTGTTAATATGTGCTGGTGAAGATTCTCAGTCATCCAGGTCAGAGTCATTCCAAAAAAGGTAAAAAAATAAAAAACTGGAGTTTGTTTTCAAGTGTTAATATGTTTTTTTTTTTTTTATTGTTAATATGTTTTATTAATCTTTGTTGTTGTTCTTATGCTCCTTGATCTGCACAGTGTTCAACGATCCATCCACTTATCCATCAATTCCTTTGCACAGTTATCATAAGCTGTGGCCCACAGGGGAAGATGAGGGTACTTGATAACTTCCGAAAGTTATAATCCGGGAAGCATCCTTCTGATATGCTAGAGCAGATGGTCTACTATGAGCTGTCGCCATATGATGCATCTCCTCTTAATTCAAAGGAAGAGTCTGCTGATGTATCCACGATTCTATCAGTCATTGTTACAGCTAGTACAGTAACCTTTTCTGATTCTTTTTTTTTTAATGCTGTACAGTTGCAGGTATTGGTGTAGTTGGAGATTCTTTTTATTGTCTTTGCTGTGAAGATAGATGCAGACATCATCCTCATTGGCACTTATTAAAAACTCTGGCAAAAGTAACTAGATCATCAGCTATTGGCTCAACCATTCCAAGAAGAGCCCCCCTTCAAATGCTGGTTTCCCCCTCGCAGGAAGACCTAACTGTGTCTTTGTTTGAGCAGCTTGAAATCTTGCTGGGTGTTTTCATGGTTGTGATTGTTTTTTATACACTGTATTGGAACTAAGATATATTTTTTGTTGTTGTCTGATTAGCTTTAAAGACACTTATTTCAGTTTTAACCTTTTTTTTTTAGTTTTTTTTGTTTTTATTTATCGTCCAGAGAGAGAATGTTGTTTTTTTTTTTTTTTTTTTTTTTTTTATGTGGGGAACTCTCAGGCTAAAACCTTTTATAATATGAAGCAGTAAATAAAATAATATAATAAAGTAGGGCTGCAACAAATGATTATTTTGGAGGTTGATTAATCTCTTTTTTCGATTAATTGATTAATAATCAGACAGCTAAAGGTTCCTTAAAGACTTTTTACTAAATTAAAACAGGGAAAACGTTTTAGAGTCTCTACAGTACATTTAACAATTAGTCGTTTAGTAAATTAGTTGACGATTATTTCAATAATTGATTAATCACGATTATTCTGATTAATTGTATCAGCCCTTATAATAGTAAATATTAGTTATTTAATGAATTGTTTTGTACTATGAATGTACTTTAGTGGTACTTGGGGTGTACAAGGGATCCTTGCTAATATTTCTTTCCATACTTTCCAGTGTGGTCCTGTTTCTCTGACCGTGACTGAGTGGATGTGCTCTCTTCGTCCTCTGTCAT